AACTTCTATCTTATCTTTCAATTTGTACTTCGAATCTAATCTTTGTCATAAACTATTTGGCATAGTATGTTGTTGCCTTTTTTTGTACTCAAGCTAGATATCAAAAAATTACAATTATTCTTTTCAATGATATTGCCATGATTTCATATTTTTCAGATGCAAATCATGTAACAAAGGTTAATGGTCAATTCCAGCAACTACTCGCTTTTCTAATAGATAGTGTCGCCATATGTTTATGGCATGTATAATTGCTAATTGGTTTCGATCACGTATAGAATAATTGTGCTCTACCCTTCTGAGCTTATGTGATTTATATGCCACAAGTTGAAGGCCTCTACTAAAATCTTATTGAAGGACCATTCTAATAGCAAAGTTGGAAGCATCAATGTCAAGTGTACAAGGAAGATTAAGATCATACGGTTGCAATATTGGAGTAGTAATGAGTGCCTCCTTCAACTTATCAAAGGTGTTTTGCTACTCCAATTTTCATTCAAATGAGGCACCTTTCTCCAATAGGTTTGTCGATGAGACAGCAATGTGAATAAATTGCTAAACAAAACAGCGATAGTATCTAGTAAGGCCTAAAAATGAGTGAACTTTAAAATCATCCTTGGGAGTTGGCCAATCCTCCACTGCTTTTACCTTATCTTATTCCACATGCATGCCTTCAAAAGACACAACATGCTCCAAAAAGGTGACTTTCAACTTCCAAAGTTCACAATTTGATTACTTGCAATAAAAGCAACTATCTTGTAGTCGACATAGTACCTCTCATCGGTATTACTCATACTCTTTAGGGATTTTATTATATACAAAGATATCATCAATAAAGTCAATTACATACTTATCCAAAAGGTTTCAAAATAATCTATTCATGTGACCCATAAAAGAAATTAGAGCATTAGTGAGGCCAAAGGATAAAACTAGCCATTTGAAATGTCCATAGCATGTATAAAATGCCATCTTTTCTACATCTTCTCTTATAATCAGTGTTTGCTAATAGTCGCTCTAAAGATTAAATTTATTAAAGATAAATTTTTTAAGTGCAAAGAGTATAGGTGCTCCTCATAATAATGTACTTTCTCAAATAAGGCTTTTCTCCAAGAGTTCATCTAATGTCTTTCATAACTCTTCAAGTTCTTTTGGTGGTAAGCGATAAATTGGTCGACTTGCTGGTTTGGCTTCAAGCAATGGTTCTATTTGAAAAGGGGCACCTCAATCAGGAGGTATGCCATTAAGTAGGTTGATTGAAAAGACATTCTAATATTCTCGTATGAGTTGCTCCACTTATTCTATCCCTTTGGTAGTCTTTCCTACCATTCATGTAAGATTTGGAACCACCATATATACTAGTTGCTAATATTATAGTTGCTTCTTCATAAAAATTGTCCCTACAAAGAAGTCTTTGATTGCAGATTGTCTTTCATCTTGACTTGATGTAGAGGTACAAAGAATCACCTTGTGTCTTCCATCTTTAAAAGAGATTATCCTTACAAGTCAATTAACTTGTTTATTGTCCATCTTCAGCCATGGCATACTAAAGATAATATCATACCTTAGCTTTGTATCATGGACATATACATTTACTTCAATAATTACTTATATGATTAAGTAGAAGTATGTAAATATATATTATTTTCATAAAGTTTTTTAGTAAAGCTTTCTAGTAGCTTCATAGATGTGGTTTTGACTTTAGATGTGTTTGTAGGTCAAAAACTTGGCCATCAAGTTAATTACATGTTGGTAGCTTGTGGAATAAGTTAACTCCGCATAATACCTTGTAGAATAAGCCATCCATGTGGCACATACATAGATAAATTGCCTTGCTAGTTAAGACATATGGCTAACAAAGTGAATATGTTTTGGAGGTCCTATAGGACATCGTTATGTAGCTCCTAGTTAAGAGTATATATGGAGGCAAGAGTGAAGCCTTCTTCACTCTTGTCAATGCCATACTAGTCCTTAGTCTTGTTTCAAGACTTTCTAATCTTCTTGTTTTTAGCAATAGCCATTCTAGTTAATATTACATTACCTTTTGAGTGGCTTTCTAGTTTTCTTCAATGACACAAGAGTGTATCAAGGATTCTCTTTCTTTAAAATTCATGTCCCTAATACTTTGTTACCTTAAATCTCTCTTTTAAGTCCTAGATGTTTGTTAATTTCAAGGTTTCTTCTTCACACATTTCACTCAATACATTCTCTCGATCATCTATAAGGTATATACTTCCTCTTTTGATTTCCTTGATTTTAATTCCAAGCCAATCAGCAATTTCAATTGAAAAGTATCAAAGCCATACCTAATCAGATGCTCCAAAAGACACTGGCCAATCTTATTTATACCTTATTCTACCATCTTAGACTTTCTACAATGTTCTTAGGTGGTAGGCCTCACCTAAATAACCACCTTAAATTCTTTTTCTAGAGGGTTCCATAGTAGGCCTTATTTAGATAATCACCCTATGCTTTCTTTCAGAAGATTTTATAGTATGCTCTACCTAAATAACTATCCTAAATCTTTTCTAGAATATTCTATGGTAGATCCTACTTGATCCACTAACCTAATATCAATTCTAGAAACATCCATGGTTCTAATTATTTATATAATTATCTTATCTATATCCTGTTACAATTCCCCCTCTTCTTTGATGTTGCCTAATGTGTGTTCAGTTGTTTCGGTAGTCTCTTTCTTCCATTGTGATTGTTTTGTGGCATCCAATGAGGTTAGTGGTTTGCTTGTTCTCTGTTGAGGGTTTGTCTCTCTTTTCTCCCATTGTGTAGTCTTGGTTTACACCTCATGTCCAAATATTTGGAGGGCTTGTCTCTCTTTTCTCCCATTGTGTAGTCTTGGTTTACACCTCATGTCCAAATATTTGGCACTTGCTACACTAAAATAGATGTCTTGATACAATGACTTTACATATGAATGGAGCCTTCGAGTTAGTAAACTGATTTTGGACAGAAGCTTGTTTACGTCCTTGACTTGGAATTTGATTCAAGATCGAATTGTTTTGTGCTTGTAGAAGGAGGATTCTTCTACAAATAGTACCTCTCACAGTTGAGAGGCTATGATTTGGAGATAGGGCTCTTGTCGCATGTAGTGATTCAGTCCTAGAAACTGAATCTAGACTGGGTATGCAAGCAACTTGTATGTTTTCCTATTATCTGTTGAAAATAATGGAGTCTATGGGGTGAAGGGTACTTCTTTACCTTCGACGATGATTGAGATGTTGAAGGTATGTTGAACGCCCTTTGTGCTGGTGAAGGTGGCTTCGAAGAAGTTGTTGCCGACTAGGGTGGAGGTCTTCAGCATGTGGTGAAGCGTTGAAGCAGTCCATTGTCCCAAGGCTGTTTGTCTTAGGCTCGTGCCTGCGATTTAGCCGATGATAGTGTATTGCATTGTTTTGTTGCATATCGCCTCAATGAGTTGACGCTCCTTTGGAAAAAAGGTAATCCATAGCATTTCAGGGTTGCACTTTGACTAAGGCAACGTTGGCCGATAGGTGGCTATGTTGTGCAGGCGTCTCGTCGGTGTTGCTTTCTGCGGGGCCATACCTATCTGAAAAGGAGGCTCTAATGCAATTCGGGCTACTACTTGGGTATGGCCTTGGCTAGTTTGGGTGCTAGTCCCGTGAAGAGGGGTCATTGCCATTAGGTCTTTCGTATTAGTGCCCTAATTTCTTCCTAACCATGTTTTAGTGGGTAACCTTGGAGATTAGCCGCCTACCTGTCTCAAGGGCTAGTGGTCATAACGGACTGCATACACTGTTTTGAGGGGACGGGGGGTTGCTGTATTACATTTCGTGATGCAGTGCTAGAGCTAATCGAGGGGTCGTGTCTCCCGTACTATCTGCTCCGTCGCTCTCGCTCCGCTCTTCCATCGGGCTCAACCATTTGACCTCTAACCAACTGAGCTATTCCAGCTTACATAGCACTCTGTCATTGCACCGGCCGGGGATCAATCCCGGGTCTGTACCGTGGCAGGATACTTCGCTCCCACTAGACCACCGGTGCGTTTCAATGGTTCCCGACTTTGCCGACGCCCACCGGCGCCCGAGAATCACGCCCGCTCTCATGCCCGCCTCAGCGACTTCCCCGCATTACACTGTCTCCAAACCACCCACGTCCACGACCAACACCTGCCCGCGCTCGCGCCTCAACACCATCCTCCCTCCCTCCCCCGATCTCTCTCCAGAATGGGAAATCCAGCCTTCACTTCACTTCACCGCAACCCAATCGACCCCTCAACAACTCCCTCATCATCCACGCCAACGCCCCAGGTTCAGCCGCTTGACACACCCTCTCGCTGTGCACGCCTACCCCTTCTGTATCACCAAACCACAACACCACAAAAACACGCTGTTTCCATCCCCTCCCCTCGCTCCACTCCACTCCTCCCCACCCATTGCATTTTGATTACATTTTGGCATGACCATCTTTACAACATGTTTCATTTTAAATTAGTTTATCATTGTATCTTTAATTTCCATGTTTCCAATAAGCACTCGTTTCTCAAATCGACATCAAATTGTGTTCTTAACAAACGAAGTTCACGAACATTAATTTTTGCATTAGCTTACACCATGTTAATTTTACATATATATAAAGTTAAATGGTGTTCAGGACAGTTAGATTTAGAACTAATTTTAAGTAGATGTAGAAGTACTGATAAATTTCCCATACAAATGCAATATTAGGGTTTACACCTAAAACTTGCACTCACATTCCAATATGAATTGGCACTCGAAAAATCGAAAAGGTAGTTAGTAGAACGACATGGACAGCTTTGAAGTGTTTAGTTCCGTCATTGACAAATGAAACATAACTCATGTGAAGTCTCTTTTAGACTTTAATACCCTGTGAATACAACACCATGCAATTCACACTTCCGGGAACACTTGATAGCTAAATTCATGTACAGCAAGAGATGTAAAGCTGAAAAAATGTACTCCAGGAGCAGAATGAAAACTAAAAGCAGATTCGAATACAGGATACTTTCATCCTTTAGTGTTAAATAACTCGGGTAGAGCTATCAAAAATTTGAATTAAACCATGCAAGTACAAATCTTAAAACACCACACGACACCCACCTGCAACTCTAAAAGGGAACAGAATGGAATGTCCACAACCATAGGTAAATTCCCGCACACGCAAATCATGGGGTGGCCAGGATGCAGATAACCCGATAGCTTCTGTTTCTAGGATTTCTGATCCACCTTTTGCGTCTTCTGATAATCTTCATCATTAGAACTATGCTGACAGTCAAACAAACGATCAAAACCTACCTAGACCAACCACACTTAATGCTTGGTTCTAGGTTTCGCTTGAGCTAACTCAAACGTAGTCACTGATGGAATTCTTCTTCTATGCTGGCACAGGCTCGATGGACACTTACTAGCGGAGGCTGCGGTCCGATAGTTTGCCACCAGTAAAGATGCCCAGATCATCAGAATTCCAGAACTATGCTGGGGTTGGGCTGAGTGTAGAATGATACCAGTTTAAAACTACTGGCTCCTACTCTTGCATCTCAACTTTACTAGAGGTGGACACCTTAACCTTGGTCTTCTCAGCAAGCTTAGGTAATGAAAATCCAGGTTCTGATTTCATGACACCTGGGGCCTTGACCAAGTGGATGTTCTGCTCCAGCTCCTTAGCTGCTTCAGTCCTTTCCTTGGCCTTTTTGCCCTTCATCCTGAATCCACACGTACACGATAAGAGCTTAACACGAGCAGTAATAGCAGTTGGTCCCACCCGAAAAGAGTCAAACAAACACTGACAATCGAGATACCAGTAGTTGAAACAAGATACACAACTGAATTACGGGATGAATAGTTCCGCTCTTCGAGCCCTCACAACGACCTAAATGGCGGTCAATAGCAGCAGGTAAATGCTAGAGGTGGTAACTAGATCCTCAAGACCCAAGAGCAGAGCAAGAGTAATCGCAACAATGCCCTGAAAGTAATTGAAATCACCACTCCAGAAGTCAAGCTAAATACACACAAAGTACGTTCGTCGAAATGTGCATTTCTACTTAAGCTCACAAAATTAACATGCAATTTCGAGTTCAAGATAACTAAATCGCACCTGCTTTCCCAGAACTTGGCCTCGCGCTGTACCCGCACTTCATCAATTTTCTTCATGGCCTTAAGCGTCTGCTCAACCACTTCCCTATTGTATCTCTCCGGCCTGTTCCGTCTCCTCTCAAACTCAAACGTAGCATCCTGCGTGAGTTCCTTGCCGTGAAGCTTCCTATACGCTTTGGTCCACTTCACCTTACGAGGATTCCGTTTCATCTTAAAATTCTTGTGGCATTTCGACCGGCAAAACCTAAATATCTTCGCATGACCAAACAGACAGAGGCGTACGAACATTTCAGTATCGTCAGTCACAAAACCTACAGCCACGCCAACATGAACTCCAAATCACGTCAGCAGCATAGGAATCCACATTGGGAGAGCAAACAGACCTTTGCGTCATTTCTGACGAATTGGATACCGTGGCCCGGATAAATGGTAGAAGAACAGAACCAGCACTTCTCCAATCTCATCGCTTCCGACTTTCAATAGCAACAGAGAAGCTTACCGTAACTGATACACCAAGCAGGAAAAATAGCTGGCTAGTTCCTAGAACCTCACCAAAACCCTTATTGGAGTTGAAGTCCGGCGTTGGCGATGGCGAGCTCTCGCCAAGCCTGTACGAAAAAGACTGCACATTAGGGTTTAGGGCTTGCTCTGAGGAAGACCACCGCTCTAAACCCTCCGGACTTGGCACCGAGAGGTAGACACCCGTCTATTTCTGAGAGGTTCTCGACCGCTCGAAGGGTGTCAATAATTGACAGAGCGGGTACAAGTATCTCGTCCCTGACTGTATCATTCCAAGTATTACTTTATCTTTTCTTTCCTTTTTAATAAATAAATAAAATTATCTAGTTCAAATGTTAAGAATATTAATATTTCTGTGATTATAAAGTTAATGTATATCTATTTTAATTTTAAAAAGTAAAAAAATGTAATAAGCTTGTATTGCTCTTCTGTGTATTGCAAAAGCACAATTCATGTATTATAAAGAACTATAAATGAAGTATACATATCCATAATTTAGTTTTCATTGCAAAGCATTAATTTAGATTATGCAATATTCGTCATTTTTTGATAGACATGTTAATCTAAATAATATTTATTTTTAACATATTTATAAGTGTGTAGTGATGATTGTATAATATTTAGTATCAATTTATTGTTATCGTTTGTTAAAATTTATTAAATAATTAGGTCCCTGAATTTTTTAAGTATCAACCAACCTATTTTTTGACAGATAAACATAAATGTCATGCTCATAACCCTGTTTGAATAAAAACCATGTCATACAACATAATCAAAATCAACATCTACATAATAATGCAACAATTAGACCTTTAAAACAGATCTATTTTATCCAGCAATTTATTTATTTATTTATTTATTTATTTTTCACAATAATGAAATAAGAATGGAATTATAACTCTTAATATAGAACCTAAATATAATAATTTTATTTTAAAATGTTGATGTATCAATGAGTTATCTTTTCCTTTTTCCCTTTTTCAAAATCTATTCATTGTTCGTCCAACATTCATCCAAATATTTAAACATTCATTGAAGATGTTTATTGAACTTATTATTTTAAGCTTGGAGAAGACAGTAGTATCTCTTATTACAAATAAAGTAGAAGATATTCCATGCAAAATAATTGAGAAAAAGAAAAAGATAAATGAACTCAAACAATATGATTAAAGAATAACACTGTATTGTAAGTGATCTACTCCAAAAATGACAAAAAGATCATACTAAATCAAACTAACAAACAAAAAGAAATGAAGTAACAGACAAACAAATCAAAATAACAAAGTGTACAAAAAAATCAAGATTGTGTAAAATAATTGTATTTCATAAAGAAGTCAGCAATAATATTTAAAATAATTCTAGTTGATCAATTTATGCTATTTAATTACACAAACTAAACAGTGGGTATGTAACTTACTAATAGTCTATACTGTTTCAATACAAAAATGGTTGTAAGTTTTAAAAAGTTGAAATGTATACTAAATTTATCATTTGGGTTTTTATTTCTTAATCCACCTATTTTCTGAGTATTCTTTTGCACAAGATATGGGCGTGGTTATAATTACAAATTGTTTTCTTTGAGCAGTCTCTTGGATTAGTGGATTTCGGGGTGGAGTTTGGTTTAGGTAGGAGCCATTTGATGTTAGCTTCTGGTCATTAAAACTGAAGAAAAGACAAATTTCTAGCAATGATTCAAGTTACAAGTGGTCCATTGAGTGGGCAATTTGGATCAACTAACTTTGGAGGAAGTGCAGTTCTCAAAACTCAATTATTTGGATTGCTGCTATTTTTTGTGTTGCCAAAGTCTCTAAAACTCGGATTGTAGATATTAGAGTATTAAGGAGATTGTAGACATATTGTAATGAGGAGCAATTTGTTTTTAATTTCATTTATTTATCTACTTTTTTATTTGAATTTTATAAAAAAATTAATTATTTTTATTTATGACATGTAGTAATTTTTTATATTTGAGAGTATATTTTAATAAATTGATAAATTGTAGTTTTAATTTAATAGAATATGATAAATTTTATTTTTTTATTTTAATTTAAAAAAAAGCTAAATATGATATTTAAAGTGAAATGCAATGTTTTAAAGATTGATGAAAGAAAATGGTTGATACTTGAATTATTTACCTTACATTCTACAATGTAGTTTTGATAATAATTACAAGTTAGAAAAATATATATAAAATATAAAAAATTGTATCCAATAAGTAATTTAAATTTTATATGAATTAATTCAACTCATAAGAAATTATGTAATGTTTATGTAAGATAATGGACATGAATATTTTGAAAGACATGAAGATTTTAACAACAACAAAGATTATGGAATTGAAGCTTAATAACATTGAGGTCTTGGAAGATGAACAATTTAATGCCCATCAATACAAGAATTTATTGGAATATTTTTAAAATGGCTTCTAAGAAGTTAAAGCTATAATTGGGATCGATGAGTATAAATTACAACCAATATTAGAAGACTTGTCTTCAATTGTTATAAAAGCAAAATGGAAGATAAATGATTTTTTAGGAGATTGGAAAAAGTTAATATGGATGCAAACATGAAGTCAAGAGGCATTCAAGGAATTATTCTTCGAATTGCAACATAATTTATGAAGTTGTTGTCAAAAGAATATTATTTCAAAAGAATATTTTATCAAAAGATGGAAATTAACAGGTGCAAAAAATTTGATCCATGTGATTTATAAGATGTTGCAAATGATAAAAGATTATTATTTTAAAAATTAAATAATATGATTGAGAATGTATACAAAAATTTTAATACTTTTAAATTGGTCAATTATATGTTACAATGGCAATCTTGTATTCAAAGTTTGAATGTGGAACAAAAGAGTTTATATCTTTATCAAAAGAATTTTTTGAACCAAATTATAGAAAAAATTCTCAAAAGTTGCAAGCTAGTATAGAAGTTATAGTATATTTGACAACATGGTTGGACATATAAAATATAATAATAAGCAATGAGATTTTAGAATATAAGCTTACTTCATTTATTAAGCAATAGTAAATTTCATGAGATATATATTTAATTATAAAATTGAAACAAATAAATTTTAAGAAAATTTATATATAAGAGAATAAAATCAAAATAATTACAAATAGTAGAACAAATTTTTTTTGTTTGTTTTATTTTTTGACAATATATCTATAATAATCTAGAAAAAATATTTTCCAAGAATAATGAAATGCATTATTTTTTGAATTCAAAAGTTGAGTGTTGTGCAATTATCTTAGAAACATAACATCTATAAAAGAAACATTTTGAAGAGCTACCAATTTTAACTTAAAATAGTTACTATTATACATAAACTTTTAAAAATAATAAAAATTTAATTTTTTATAAATAAATTATTATAAAGAAAAGGTTTTTTTTTATAATTACCATGATATTGACCATTATTCTTCCAAATACAATCAAATCCATATTCTAATTAAATTCAAGTAAAAAATATTATTTTCCTATTTGTCATTATTTTGATTTTTTTTTCTTATTTATAAATACTTTTAGATTTTTTTTACCTATTTGTATTTTTTAATTTTGATAAATTTATTAAAAATTATTATAAAGATTAAAGCTTTTAAATATATAAGACAATTAATTATATGGCTCTTGAAGTAATATATTCTACAAGCAATTCAAATCCATTTAAAGTAGATATTTTTAGTTTCAAAATTCTTTATTGCAATATTTTGATAAGTATTGAAAACAAATATGAATATATCTACACTTCTATTCATGTAAAGAGGAGATTAGAAAGCTTATACAAATTTGATCATAGGCTTCAATTGTGGATTAAAGAATGTTTGTATAAAAAAATCCTTCAAAAAGACCTTCATTTCTACAAATTGTGAAAAACTTGATAAAAGTGAAGAAATATGTTTTTAAAGATCAACTTACAAAGAATGAAAAAATGACATTCAATTCTAATAAATCATTAAAGAAGAATATTTTTAATAATCTTAAGCAAAAATTATAAGATTAAATCATAAATTTATATAAAAATTAGCTAAGTATGTATACAAAATAGAAATAATATAAATATTATATATAAAAATTATCTAAATATGTATACAAAATAGAAATAATATAAATATTATATATAAAATTATATCTAATAATACATCAAATATTTATGATTCAAATATAAGTCTTGATGACTTTTGAAATGATTTAGAAGAAAGAATTTTTATTGTTATCTATAGCAAGTTAGATTTTTAATTTAAATTATTAAATAAATAAATATATATATATATATATTATAATAAGAATATTAAAAAAATTAAAAAATATATTATTTTAAAAGCCAAGAACTTCTTTTTTATACTATTGTCTTTATGTACATATTGACAAGTATTTTTTGAATAGAGTACAAACATTCAAGTTTTAAATTAATTATTTTGGATTTAAAGAATTTACTCATTAAAATCTACATGGTATCAAGGACACAAATTGGAAGAAGATGCATAAACTTATGGAATCTGTACCAAAGTAAAAGTGACAAATTAGAAGAAAGTATGTACATTCAAGGAAGAACTGGAATGACTATTGCCAAAGAGTAAAAAACATAAGACTTTTAAAAGTAGACTAAAATCAAGAAAGGACTTGACAAGAGTGAGAAAGATCTCATTCTTGTCTCTATATATATTACTTAATTAAGAAATACATAGTGACATGCTATAGAACCTCTAATACACGTCCAATTTGTAGAACACATGTCTAATTTGCAAGACAAGTTTCCTAGGTATGCGCCATATGTCCAACTTGTACTACAAGTGATCAACATGTTGACATGTGGCCTCCTTGTTGGCTAAGTTTTCAATCTATCAATCACCTATAGACATGTATTAAAACAGAACAATGTCTATAAAGGTTCTAAGAAGCTTTTCATAAGATATTATCATATTTATCTACTATGACTTACTTCTACATGTTTTTACTATTTAGATAATTATCAAGATAAATATGTACATCGGTGATATTACTCCCTCTTATAGATATGATTTCCATAAGGAGCAATTATTACATGTTGATGAAATCCAAGATGCGTCGAACTGCATTTACTATGTATTTTGATCTTTGTTCCCTTCAAAGGTAGTTGATAG